GTGGCTGCTGCTGCACTGGTTGAAGGCTCCTCTCTTAGCGCCCAGACGAGAGAAGGTGCATGGGCAAGGCCAGGCAGGAAACATGTGACTTATCAGTAACTTTAGACATCGTAACACAATTTTAAACGAGATTTTATTGTAGATTATACATTTTACTGATACCAATTATATAATATTTACCTTGTTCATTAAAAATAAAAATAAAAACATATATATTTTTTTAAACATATTTTTTTTTTTTAATTTTAATTTTAATTATTATTATTATTTTTTTTTTTCAATATGGGAAGAGGTGGGGCGGCGCCCCTAGCGCCCCTATGGACCGGCCGCCACTGCATCCTAGTGTTAGGAGCAGTGGGCTGCCATTATGTACGGCGCCCGGGGAGCAGTGTAGGGAACGGTGCCTTGCTCAGGGACACCTCGGTAGCACTTGGTCTTTCCGGGACTTGAACTGGTGACCTTCCAGTTACCAAGCCAAGTCTCTATGGACTTCTCCACCACCGCCCCTAAAACCATCTGTGGCATTTGTTCAGCAGGATAATCTCAACAAATTAACATTACTTTTATGATTTTATAAATGCAATGGGCAGAAGTAATGCAGATAAACAATCCTGTCACAAAAGTCAACTCTTAACTAAATAGAGTTAAGGGGTGCAATAGCTACATGTTATGGAGAAACGCAATGAAATTACTAAATTAACGTATTTAAAATGAGTTACATTTACTGAGAAAAAAAACCTTTTGAATGACAGTTACTAATCTAAAAGGTTGGTGATTACCAAATCGTTGGTCAAAACATATTATTTTCGGTAAGAACTGTTCTTGGCCAATATAGCCTTCATTCTGTTGCTACCTTCTTATCTTAATTGCAGTTATATTGAATGACTTTTAATGAAAGTTTGACAGAAATCAGTGATCATTGTGAGGTTTACACTGCCTGGTTTAGGTATGTATATTTATTTAAGTCAGACTGCTGTTTATAATACTAACCTGGTCTGAACTAGCTTAACTGCCTTTGGTTTGCCACGCTACGCAGGTGAAGTTAACCTGGAGAAGTCTGGTCTTACACAGCGTCCACACGGCGGCATGCGTTGAAGCTTGCCGGTGCGCATGTCTGAAACTCGACCAACAACCAATCACATGAATCTCCCGCCCCGGACACACAAGCACGTGGTTTGATTGGCTAGAGCTTGTACTGGCATATGATTTGATTGTCTGACGCTTCAGTCGAAGCTTCAAAAGTTGAACATTGCTCAACTTTTGAAGCGAGCAACAGGAGAAGCGAAGCGACGGAACCACAATGCAGTTCGGCAAAGCGTGACGTCACCGCATTCAAAGTGAATGGGCAGAAGCGTTGAAGCTTCAACGCAAGCCGCCGTGTGGACGGGCCGTGACAGTGCCTTTACAGTGCAGATGTCCAGTTTTTAGACTGTGTGCTGAAATGTGCACAGAAAATGCAGCTGGGACTTCAAACAGCATGGGTTTGGTTGTTAGCATAAACATGCTAGCATGCCTCCTAGGCTAGCAACAGCATTCTTCTAACGTTTGTCAAACACTTAACAACATTGCCATTAACCAATGTCATTAACCTTGCACTCACTGCTGGTGGAATTCAATCGGGGCTAGCAATAGATACGTCTTGTCTTTTTTCTTGAAATGAATTAGCAGTGAAATCTGGTCTGACTGCGCAGCATAAGTACGGGATTGCTTCATGGCCAGTATGGAGAAGAACACTGATTTTAGTCACCAATATTAATTTAAACGTAGAAATGACAATACAATTTCATTTAGCTGATGCTTTTATCCAAAGTGACTTCAAATAAGTCCATTCAACCATGAAGATGTAAACTCAAGAAGAGCAAGAATCGTGCAAGTACATCATCTTTCAATAAGCTAAACCACTGTAAGTGCTACTGCATTGGCTTCAAATAAGCCACATTTCTAAGTTGTGCGTATAAAAAGGGGGAATTACATTTGTATTATTGCTTTTTGGCCAAGGCGCAGTGGAAAGACATGTAGGTCTTCAAATGTATTGATGTTAATGGAGACAGGATGCATTGTGAGTATTGTTAAGCTACATCAAGTCCTTTCTCTTTTACTGAAACCTTCCATTTCTTTTGCATAGTCAGAATTCTATTTTATCCACGCTATCTTTATATTTTACTTTATTGTCCACAATTAACTTGAAAACTGAGAGTACAGTTAAAAATGTTGGTGTGTTGTTAGTGGAGGTTAAAGTAGCCTTTAGCCTTAAGTAGAAATGAGGAGCAGGCTACAGCAATCTGATACGCAATTCTTACCCAGATTTATATTTTCAGATTTTGTCTAGAGCTACAAAAGGCTTTGTTTAAGTTTATTCAGATATCATTTACTCCATAAGACTGCTAAACAAACTTCAAATAAATTGTGTCAACCCCTTTAAGATTATCTGTCCAACGAGAATGTCTCACAGTAAAATCGTCATTTTGTCTCCATAATTTGCTTTCCATGGACAAAGTTAAAAGTAAAATATCTAGGTACTGTAATGCTCAATAAGCATACGCACCCACAATTGACCATAACAGGTTTAATGAGGCAACATATTTAGAATAAAACATCAAGACAAATGGTATAACAGGTTCTTTATGAGGGAACAATCATATGAATGTGATAAAGGGGAGTCTTTTAATTAACGAAAACAAATGTGTACAAGGGACAAAGGGGCACATGTGACACGAGCCCGGCTGACAGCGAGGCATGTGTTTTGTGTACAGTATCTGACCTCACAAGAACAAACACAGTGGAGTGCATCCATGCCTGACACCAGCTGTCTGCAGGTCCTCCCCCGCCCAGCTGCACCTCTCCTTTACCGCATTCTCTCTTTTGTTGCTTCTAATGATCGCCACAATGTTTTGTACCCTTCCACTTATGATTTTTTTTGTTTTATTTTGTTTTGCAGCTACGAGTGAGTTAAGTGAGGGAGAAAATTAGCAAATGCACATAAATGGGCCTCCGCAAGCGTAGCCCCCCCGAGGGCTTTACTAATTTGCATGAAACAGAAAGAATATATCTGTGTTTGTACACCACCCCATTAAGGCTTTTTCTGGGAACTGTTTTTCTTTTTTCGCAGAGCTGCATTTAAGACTGTGAAGTGAGTGTTAAAAAAAATGGTGGGGCGGGGGGTTCTAATCTGTTGAATGGGTTAAACTGCCAACACACATTCCACTGTAGACAGCCAAACAATATTACTTTTCATATTGAAGATGCTCATTATGGGCAATTATCTGTTTTTCTCAATGCAGCTAATGTGGCTTGTATTCACTTCATACATAATTGTTAATGCATCAATACATGGAACAAATGCATGAGGTAGTGCTAAAAGTATTCTTAAGAGTAGTAATTAGAGAGGCATCACCAAATGAGTTAGTCAGTTTGAACCACGAGGCCTCCACTTATATAATAAAGACTATGCTAACTGCTCACAAGACATCAACTTAAATGTAATTTAAAATGACATAATTATTAGCATATTATCAGCTTTTGTGTATGCTGTTTCCTTACCTCAGAGTAATCGAAGTTACCACACTAGGAAATTCTTGGAATACAAACAGATCCATTCTCACAGTTCTACGAAATCTTGATTAAAGGAGGTTGTGGTCACAAACAGGGGCGCCGTGAAAAGATATCACATTGGTTACTTAAACATTTTGTTCTTAATGTTATAAAATAGTTTGGGCCCCTGTCAGTCACAAGCCCTTAGAATCGTCCTAACTTTTCACCCCCTTACGGCGCCCCTGGTCACAAATGTGTTTACACAGTCATGCTACAGGTATTTATCTGATTGATGGGAACACAGACCTGCTCCCCCAGGTAAGGCAAATTGTTGAAACTCGTTTTTCTGTTAAAGTGAGGGTTCATTTAGGGAAAGAGTTTTGTTATGATGAATGTGGTTGTTATGATTAGGTTACGGCCTTTCACCCTAAGAATGAATGTAAGATAAAAAAAGTGTGTCTGTGCACGTGCGTGTGTTTGTGGGAGTGAAAGAGCGCCCAGAGGAGGGCACCACTGTACCAGACAATGTTTTACCCTCACAGCACATTGTTGACCGTTTGTCTTTTGATAGGCAGACATGTCATTGCACTCTGACCTACACAACTAAGACTACTAGCACAATCTAAGCTTGGAAGCTGCTGTTGGAAAAAGGGAAGCATTTGACATATTTGTACTTACTTACTTACTTGTTTTTTGTATTTGCATTTTGTGCCCTTTTTTTCTTTCATTTTTAATTTGCAATAATGGTTTTTTAAATAGTTGTATTATAGTATTTATGTTTGCTCCTTATTTCCCATTATGCATGCCCATTTAACCTACTTGGCAATACACCGGATTCTAATGCTAATTCAGATTTTTAGGGAGGAAGTTCATGCAGAATTAAACCACACTCAGATTTAGTTTGGCTAGAATGTCATACAGTATTGGCTACTGTTTCTCTACAACAAGAAAATAAGGTATAGCATAGAGTTGAGACCTTCAGCTCATACTAACTGAAGTGGTATTTGTAATGGTTCCACACACAAAATGTTATGGTGTTATGGTATATTTCTTTTTAGCACAAGGGAAGACAACTTGTATTTAATGTAGTTCCAGTAGATAAATCTTCATGTGTAAGACCCTGCATTTTCAAATAAATGTACTGGCTTCAATCTCTTTTTGCCCTTGAAATGTTTTTTAAAAAAAGCCCACATGATTAAATCAAATCAAAGTATGATATCCGCTTTACAAGTTTGCGGAGACCTCCGCCAAGGCTGTTTCATAAGTGAAAAATAATGTGTGTATCCACCCTGTGATTTAGATCCTCTCTGATTTGTTATAGGTTCTTCGTTGGCCCCTGATACACCCTTCCACCAAGGTTCATGGAAATCCGCCAATAACTTTTTAAGTCAAAAACAGAACCTCCTTGTCTGAGGTACTAATGAATCCTGAATTGTCATTTAAACATAGTTTCAAGGTTGAACTCTGACCTTTAGTTCTTTCAGGGTTTGGGCGTATTCTAGTTGATTGATCTTCATCCTGGTTTTGAGCTCATTCAGGTGTTGTTTCCTGGCCGACTCCAGCCAAATCCAAGGGTCTAGGGAAGGTCTTTTGGCGAGTGGATTCTCTGTCCCATGTACCTCTGCAACAAAACAAACAAAAACATTCTCAGACATACAGTTAATCTGAAGCATCTGTGCATGAAGTCTGCCAAGGCCTTCTTTAAAACAGACTTCACATTTTACTCAAAAGCTAATTCAACCTTTCGGTGTACTTTCTGGTCATAATCCCAGGGTAACATTCAATACTTTGGAGGTTCCCAGAAACACTTACACTGAATCAGCGCTTTGAGCATGAAAGTGTCTTGTCTTTTAGGTATGTGGTTAATGGACAGATGTTAGAAACACACCATCTCTGCTGCTTTCTAAAATACTCACATTATCTACATGTATCCATTCTTTAATCACAAGCTGTTATTAAAAGCTTTCTAATAACAGGCCCCTCTACAAATCATCTTAATCCTGGAATTAGAAGACAAAGTCGTTCTGTGTCCTGAAGGCATCCTGTGTCCTTCATACCTCATGTTACTAATTCTATACTGGACAGTCAGGCATTGCAATGGCTATAATTATTATGGCGACAGTGTGAACAGGCCCGCTAAGACCTTTGAAATAGTACAGTGTTACATCCAGCCCATTTAGGCTTATAACATGGGGTCTATTATACAGTTTGCACAGGTCTCTCAGCGGTCAGGGTCACTGATGTTGTTATACCAAAAGTATGTGATGGGAGAGACAAAACACAAACAACAAGCTAACAAGGTAATTCAGAACAGACACAAAGTAAGAAAGCAAATTAATACCGAATGCAAGTCCAAAAAATGAGATACCATTGATGGTAAAACACAAAAAACAAAGAGAGGTGAACACTGTAAATCAGCAGAGTCATCACAGACATAATGATGTGAGATTGTCTAACACATTTTAACAAGAAAGCGGTGGCTGAATTAAAGAGCTGGGCTCGTCTGCTAGTCATTGGTGGTGAGTCCAGAGCTGTGAGGAAGCCTTTCTGATTAAGGCTTTACTTGCTGACTAAGGACTTTTTCAGGAGCCTAATCTACCTGCCAGAGGCTGTGTGTGTGTGTGTGTGTGTGTGTGTGTGTGTGTGTGTGTGTGTGTGGTGTGTGTGTGTGTGTGGTGTGTGGTGTGTGTGTGTGTGTGTGTGTGTGTGTGTGTGTGTGTGTGTGTGTGTGTGTGTGTGTGTGTGTGTGTGTGTGTGTGTGTGTGTGTGTGTGTGTGTGTGTGTGTGTGTGTGTGTGTGTGTGTGTGTGTGTGTGTGTGTGTGTGTGTGTGTGTGTGTGCTATTAGCACTATAAACCAGGAGCAGAACTCTGGGATTGTAAATCATGGCAGAGTGGAAAACTGCTTCAGCGCTCCACACACCTCCTGCAATGTTTCTGTGCGTGTTCACACGTGTCTGTGCAGTGTGCACACTCTACCAGCTGTGAACGTGAGTGAGGCTTCTACATTGCAACACATGATATGATATTAATACAGATATTTTTAGAAATGCGTCAACGGGAGCTTTAGGAACCATTGGTGGACAATAACAAAACACATTTACTTACTGAACTTAAAAAGGCCCATAATGCTGTTTTTTAGTTTCTGATTGCCTGTTTTATTTTTGAAATGTCTGTATCGGTCTGTTTTTAATTCCTGTGTTTTCCTGCCTCTTTGATGGTCTGTCCTGGCCTATTTCGTTGCAACTGTTCCCCATCATCACCTGACCTCCTGTCCACCTGCACTTCATCCCCTCATTAGTTTCAGCTTGTATTGAAGCCTTGGTTCTCTGTTAGTCTTTGTTGGATCCTTGTGTGTCCTGCAATATAGTTTAGTTTGTTCTTTTGCCTTTCTGGACCAAGCCTTTGAATGAAACTAGTGTTTCTGCTTCCTGCATTTGGGTCCACCCTGCTTCACTACCCGTAAAACTGTATATCTTCATAAGCAAGTACTCTAATTGAATGAAAAAACGTTCACTTGTACTGGAGTGATATTTGACCAGAAGTACATATAAATAACCTTTAAATAAAGGAATTGTGTAAATAAAAACTATGACCTGGTGGCAAGAATACCCGATTTATCCTCCGGGACACTTGAATATATGTACACATTTTAGGGAATTTCAACCAATAGTTGTCTGAAAATGTCAATAAAACCAAACATGTCTACCTCATGGTAATCCAACAGTAAAAAAAAAAAAAAAAACATTGACAGGGTTTATCCTCTGAGGAACAAGAATGTTTTTTGCCAAATTCAATTAAATCCATCCAAAATCGTACAACATATCTCACTCCTTTGAGTTTGAAATGACCCGTATATTAAATTAACCTTTTATGTTTTTATGTCAGTCAAGCTACATAAGGAACACTTTGCAATCTGATTATCAAATTAGGGAGGCAACACTTCCAGTTAAAACTGTGTGGCCACAAACAAGACCTTAACTTATAAAGAAGTTTAATTATATTCACTGCAGTAACAGCCAACAGTCATAAATTCAAATCTCCAGCTAGTTCACAAACAGTGGAATAAGCTCCCACATGTAGTGAGAGCTTCTGCAGAACACATTATACATATTCAAAGGAGCATGATTTATGGTTTTAATCTGAGTCTGCTGCTCTCAAAATAAAATGTACAGAGTAAAAAGTGATATATCTTTCTTTTCCCCTGGTAGTTGTTAGTACACCGCACTGACACTTATGTTTCAAGAGGCTACACTGGAGCAAGACTGTTAAAAAATACTTGCAACTAGACAGACGAAGTTTTAAAAGGTGTTAAAATCCCAACTTTTTTCTATAGTTTGATACATAGGAACTCATGACAGCATGTTTCAAGGAAAGAAAAAAGTAAAACACGTCTTTAGCCAACAGCTGTCATGTAAACACTGTGTTGTTGATTCTGTCTTCAGTGCCATAGAAACTACCTGTCTCGAGCTGTTGGCTTCGGGTGTTGCCTTTAAGCAATGCTTTCACAGTTCTCTCATAGCACATAATGAGTAATGTCTTTCCAGAGTTGCTTAGCATTAATGTATCTGTGTATTTGTTAATGTATACAGTGAAGCTGTGTCTCAAAAACTTAACGGTGCTTCCACAAGCCAAAAAAGTGGCCTTACAGTACTTCAAACTATTGTCAGTGCAAATGGATCCTCTCAAGGCTCGACCACTTCAAACACTTAACGTCTGGCCAACAGACAAAAAGCAATTGAATAATGAAGGTTTGCCTAGCCAGAGATCCCCTTCAAACCTTTTACGGTTAGCTAGTTCTTTCAACTCCTGATGTTGCTATGCGTACATGTGTCATCCAAACCAAATCAAGCTGCCTTTGTAGTTTTAAGGGGAAACAATTGTTGCTCACTACAGTGTTTGTCAGACCTTAAAGACAATAGGTGCACTATAAGGTCAATGTGGTTTTCTCTTACAAATGTATGCATTTAACCATCAAAATCAGTGTGCAACCTATACCACAGATCTAAGGCGGAATTACTTTAGGCAACCAATTTACTGTCTTTTGTTGCGTGAGAGCAAAATCTGCTGTGACGGCAGTGAAAATCCTGTTTCTCAACACATTTCAATGGAATATCGAACATGTTGTAAATGTTGTATATGATTACATACATTTGTTTCCAATCGATGTTGACTTGAATATAACATGTAAAGTTAATGTTCATGTCTGTGGTCTTGCCACCTGGTTATCGGGCCAAGGCGGAGTGTCTTTTTTGTGAAGGTTCTAGAAACGACATTCAGAGCATTAATATACCAACAACAATTCACCGGATTACATGTCGTAGTTATGCTTTGGCACAGAATTAATAGATGTTGGTGCCCTATGTCCCAAGGAGGCTCATTGCTTTGTAAATTACCAATATTTCTAATTGAAATATATATTTTTTAGAATCCCTTTTCACTATCAAACTAATGGGTAATCTTTCAGTCTAAAATTCCTTAGAAGTTCAGGAAAGAGTATGAGCCAATTCAGGGTTAGAATGCCATTATGGGCTATCCATGCAGTGGCTCCAAAACTATTAGCAGCAGCCATTACAACCCAGTCATTTTCACACAAAGAGTCAATGCACTCAGGGGTTAACAACCTTTTTTCCCAAGAGCCCCCCCCCCCACACACAGCGGTAATTAAAGTTTAAAAGTCTCAAAAATGCTACAACTACTGTCACAAACTGGATGAATGTGAAGTATTTAGTTAAAGGAGGATGAAAGCGTAATTAAGGAGCGGGCGGGAGCAAACGCTTGCCTCGGGGAGGGAGAAAAAAAGCCACAGCGGAGAATAAACAGAAGGGTAACCATGGTAACTATGGGCGGGAAGTCTTCTTCGCTGCTTTTGCGGCAGACTACAGCGCCACTTACAGGCCTGGCATATGTACTACAGCGTCTCCAGCGCTTTCGAGCGGCAATGGCCAGCCGTGGCCCAACCCCACATTCCCCTGATAGGTGGAGAGTTGGCCCAATAGCCATAGCGCCACCGTCCTGACGTCAGGACAGTGTTCAAATCTGGATCAGTTTTTATCAGATCCGTTGCAGCCCCTTTTTTAGAGATTTGGGTATGGAGGAAAATAGAGAGGGTTGTGTTTTCTGACACTTGGTGAGTTCCCTGGAACACCGGGGACACATATTCATGTATAAAAGACGTACAAAAGTGCATTTTGCATGATAGGTCCCCTTTAAGTAAATGCACCTTTCTTGTTGTGTAATAAAATCTAGCTCATTATGTTGTAATCATAAAATGCAACATGTAACTCTTCAGCGTGAACTGTTTTAACATAAGCACCATGGCAACAGGCTTTTTATTAACACCTCGCGGGGAGATTTCTCTGGAATTGAAGGAGCCAACATGCAGCCTCTACACTAAGTGATGTCTCACGGCTTCATCTTTTCCTGCGAATCTGTGCTGACACACAGTTTGTGTGCACACATATTTACATAGCTAATTAAAGACCTGACAGTGCAAGTGAAATAGAATGAGCAAGTCTCAGCAGAGGATCACCTTCAGGGCAACAAGGGCAGTCTTGGACCACCGACAACTCAAGTAAAGAAAGGAGAGAGAGAAGACAGATATGCCATGGAAAGTGCAAAAA